TACCAGAAGTACTACTTGAGGTTGTGCTTGTTGTTGTCGATGTTGTTGTTGTGGGCCCAATGGGCCCAGAAAGCCCGATTTGGATGCTGGCATAGATGCTGTCCACATGATTACCATTGCTCACAAGAAGACACCAATTACCTGACGAAGGTGGAGTGGTGGGATGAGTCAAATCGCAAACTTGCACGCAGTAGTCGGAACTTACCATTTTAGAGAAAGATAATATGTGAATAATAATAATATAATTGATTAGTCAATGTATTTATGCAATGTGTAACCACGTCGGAATATTATTCCGAACTAATCTGTAAATTATCAAATTTCTCGCTTTTCCACTTACCATGACATAGACGGTAAAGTAGTCCAATATTGGGTTGAATTTGGGGCAAGGAAAGTTTGAAGATCCGTCGGAGATAAAATTTGTGCAAGCAGCTCTCCGGTTGGGCAGGCTACTTGATAGATTGGAAAGCCAGCTTTATTTACAAAAGTACCAAAGTTTGCCGTCGTAGTGAGCGGTTGGCTTGTTGCATTTACGATAAAAGCTATGTTTTTGTAGCAAAGAAAATTTGTTGAGCATATGAATTTTACAATTTAAGATTAAATTATTCGACTATACTTACTAAGATTACTAGCTTGATTACACGTATACCTTTTGAAATTGTTATGATAAGTGATTAGTTAAAAGGTATTACGATTTCTTAGACTGAGTGTGATGCATACAATCTACAGAAAAAATGTAACGAGTTTGTGCTTTAGCCATGTTCCATTCCCATCTTACCATGCCTGTACAGGGCTCAAGAAGATGTTGCCCGATAGTGATTGAGCATCTATTGTAGTTATCTAAATGTAATAACAGTATTAAACAATTGAACAAAACTTCAACTCTTTTATCGTTTTTGATCTAGTTACCAAAGGAATCAATACGAATAAAATGAGTTTAACTATATTTTTTATATTCAGCTGGGGTTTTATTTGAGATATAAACAAATTTATCAATAGCAAAAAACCGTTCGTTTTATGCAGCTCATACGTTTCCTATTATATTGCGGTCGAGAAACGTTGTCTATGTAGCAGCTTTAGTTTTGCTTTCTTTATATAAGTAACGATGATACAACAGATTGCGAATTGGCCTTATGAGTCAGATGAGATTTAGCAAGGGGCGTTCCGTTCTGTATCGCCGATCAATACCAAATTCTATGCAAAGTAAAAAAAGGCGTATACACGATGTATATATTTGAACAATTTATAACAATCGTTTAAACGCCAAATATTGGCTTGCGTAACGGTGTTTATTTATTCAGATATCACATTTAGATCAACAATGGCAGACAGAACAAAAACAGCCGTTGTTCTAAGATTAAATTAAAGATATAAAATTTTAATATTAATAATGTAAAATTACTTAATTTTCCAAGTTTTTTGTAGCTCCTAATGCGAAACTAGAATCGATTTTTTTTAATCACAGAATGCTTTCTAGTTCTTTGAATTACAAGGCACATACGTATATACACGTATACCCGCACATTTGTAGTATATGCCAGCGAATCAAACTCGATCTCCTGCATGCACGCAATACAGATCGATCGACTTCTTATAATTAATAATTCGGTTACTTTCCCCGTCATTATTAGTAAATACGCTGTAATACAGCGCGAAATATGAGAAAGTAGTTTTCATCTTGGTTCTAATAGTTAAAAGGTCTAGCGTTAACTTTTGTTGTAGGTCATTTATTCAAGACATGTGATTCTTTCCAAAGTACATATAAGTGTTTGAATCAGCATAATTACGAGGCTAAATGTTTATCAACTAGCATTGTTTGCTAACAAGTAATTTGATAAATAATAAAGTTACTGAATGCGTGCACACTATCAAAAACCAATCCCGCAAAAGGTTGCATCTCTTCCAGAAAAGGCGCTACGTATTTAATGGGGTTTGTTGTTATTTCATTCAACTCTTTCAAATAAACATTGAAAAGACAACGGTTATCAATAGTTATAGTATTCATAATTAATTTAGCACTTTCAAATAATTAAGCTGGATTATATAATTTAAGCATCAAAAGTTTTTCATCTATTTACTTATTTATTTGTACACAAGCAATCGTTTTGAACAATTACAACTTACATTCATTCGTTGTTTTTGCATTATTTACATGGCATTAAACTCCCAATAAGCCACACAAGCCAGAGAGAAAGACATTGCCACTATTACCTGCAGAAAAGGAATCTGGAATTTGTGACAATAAGCGTAATCCAGCATTAAGAGTACATGTCGCGCTCGAAGTTGTAGTTGTGGCCGGGCTGAAGATTCAATTTTGACGCTGGCATAGATACCGTTTACTTTATTTGGATTGCTCACAACAAGACACCAAGTATCTAATGGAACTTGAGGTTTAGTTTGGTTGCAGATTTGTACACAGCAGTCAGAGCTTATTAGAAATGTAAAATGTTAAGTTAATTTGAAACAGTAATAATAACTGCGTGTAGAATATTCTCAGTGCATGATATTGTCTACAAATGTTTGATTCCGCAAAAATTCTTGCATATCTTACTAACCATGATGAATTAAATACGGTATAGCTGCAGCTGGGGTCAAGAAATTGTTGAAGATCCGTCGAAGATAAAACTTGGAAAATCACTCTGCTTATGCAAAGACTATTCGGTTTGCCAGCTCCGGCTATATAAGCACCGAAGTTTGATGTCGTAAAATAGCTTGACTTGATGCTATAAGCTGTATTAGTGTAGCAAAGGAAGATATTTGCTATTATTAGATTAAAGTGCTTAGACATTATTTTTATCTTTAAACTTCCTTACTGAGAATAATTGATTTGTGAGGTACATACCCACCTTTTTTGAAGTTGACAAGTTATTCCAAATATATAATTTTAATCTTCGAGATATCGTGTGTGATGCACAAGAACAAATGCAACAAGTTAACAATTTATGTCATATCTTACCACGGATTTAAGTAATGTTGCCCGATATGAAATGAACATTTGCCGTGCTTGTCTGATATAATAGCGAAGTTAACAGTTGAACAAGACAAAACCCAATTTTTTTATCGTTTTTAAACTTGCTTACCAAAGAAAAGAATACAAATAAAAACTTGGTAACAAAGTTAGGTTGGAAAATTTCCCCTAAATTGGAATAATTTGGTTTTGGGGTCGGATATGGGGGCGTATTTTTCTGTGATTAATCAAAGTTCGTCTCTAATTGACTTGAGGGAGTCTTTTGAGTTCTTATTGTCAGATGTTTATGTCATTTTGATGGTTGAGAGGTTTGCATTGTGTTAAAGTAATTTTTAGAAATTAGCACCTTGTATTATTGATTTGTATAATCGACTTCTTTGTTCAAAAGTTGAAGATGATAAAGTTATGGGCTGCGGTGTATGTAACGTTTGTTCCGGATAGTATTATAATAAAATATTGTAATTCGGGGTATGTCGAGGCAATAGTCACGGGAGAGCGGGTAACTACTGTCTCGGTTTGGGATCTAGCTGCGCCGTCGTAGGAGTGTGGCTCACCTCAGCGATAGCTAAATCGTAACAAACAGTTAGTGACCTTTAAACTAGGCTTTTCAGTGCTGACGTATCCCTGTACGTGTAGCACACACTAATTCTAGATAATTAATTATTCTCGAGAACAAAAATTACTCTCTACCGGTGGATTAGTTCGGTTGTCTGTAAGTTGGGGTCTTAATTAGAAAATAATGCGCGCTGCGAAATAATAATTAATTATCCTAATGCCACTCGATCGATTGCGAGACAAGTATTACAACCGATCTTGCCGTTATACGGATTAATGCTTTAAAAATATAACGAAATATTCAGGGAAAGAATTATCGTTTCAGAGTAAATGGATACTCGTTTATTAACAAGAATAAAAATATAAAAGGGGTATCGAACGTCTTCGATAAGAAATATCGTAGGGAACACACGGATAAATTCTGAATTGAATACTGAAATCACTGGGAGCACTAAGAACACACCGATGCTAAGTCTATCTTACGCTGCTTTTATATCTTTTGGACTGACTAATTAATCTATTTTTAGCATCGGATGGCTAATTGCTAATTACTATTCCCTAAATTTATCACTATTCTCTCTTGCTATCGTATTCTGCTGCTTCTAGTGCGACAATCCCTAAAATTAGTACGACCGCTTCTAGTGCAACCGCTTCTAGTGCGACTGTAAATTTTAGTACCACCGTTAGAATTCAGGTCCTGGTAGCACTGACGGGTTCCACAGAAATTTAGGAAGGAATACGTCATCGTATATGCTTGCGTCATCACGGGTCTATTTTCATGCACATTCAATTCTCTCACAGGTAAAAATTTTGAACTACATTGCCTTTTTGTGTATGTCACAAGTAATTTGGACTAAATTTGCAAGTACTGCATATAGCAATTTTGATGGGTCTGACGTGATTGTAGATATTTTGAGATATTCCTTACATACAATGTGTAATCGTTGACAAACGCAACTGTTGGAATGTAGTATGCGGGCTGTATAAGATTTTGACGTCATTACTCATTTTGCTGCCTTCACTTATTTGAGTTATGTAATTTTTATGTGATGTCATTGGTTATGAGCTTGATAAATATATAATGGTATACTAGTTATAATATTATCAGCTTGTCTTACTTAATTAGCATAATCTCGAAGCATAGACAATAAACTGGTTGAATACGCGAAGTTAGCCCTGTCCGGAAGACGTAAAAACTGTATCTACTACTGTAGAATAACACTTGTGTTGTATTTGATTAACATATTCAGATAACATTGGGGGTAACGTTTATGTTTATCAACGGTCTTTGCGTAAAACAATAGTTTTAATTATAATTTTGCGCTACAATAATAGGCATAATTAATAGACTTTACGACAAATTTAATTTCTCAAAAACTCTTATTTATTATTATTGCTTATTACTGATTATACAAAATTTGGTTTAAACAATAATAACTTAAATTTAACAATTAAGATTAATTTTTGTGTCCTATTACTATCTACATGAAATTGGGACATTGACCACAACCGTAGTTATAGTATTAGGAGTGGACGTAGCAGAAGTACTACTTGAGATTGTGCTTGTTGTTGTCGAAGTTGTAGTGGGCTCAATGGGCCCAGAAAGCCCGATTTGGATGCTGGCATAGACGCTGTCCACATAATTACCATTGCTCACAACAAGACACCAATTACCTAACGGAGGTGGAGTGGTGGGATGAGTCAAGTCGCAGACTTGCACGCAGTAGTCATAACTTACCATTAGAGAAAAATAATGTGTGAATAATATGATTGATTAGTCAATGTATTTATGCACATCGGAATATTACTCCGAACATAAACTATTCTACAACAAATTATCAATTTCTCGCTTTTTCACTTACCATGACATAGACGGTATAGTATCGTTATGTCTGGTTGAATTTGGATTAAGGAAACTTGAAGATCCGACGGAGATAAAACTTGCGCAATCAGCGCTCCGGTTGGGCAGGCTACTTGATATAATGGAAAGGTAGCTCTATTTGCAATAGTACCAAAGTTTGCCGTCGTAGTGAGCGGCTGGTTTGTTGCGTTTACAATAAAAGCTATGTTTTCGTAGCAAAGGAAATTTGTTGAGCATATGAATTTAACAATTTAAGATTAAATTATTCGACTATACTTACTAAGATAACTAGCTTGATTACACGTATACCTTTTGAAATTGTTATGATAAGTGATTAAGTTAAAAAGGTGTAATAGTAATTACGATTTTTTAGACTTGAGTGTGATGCATACAATCTACAGAAAAAATGCAACGAGTTTGTACTTTAGCCATGTTTTATTCCCATCTTACCATGCCTGTACAGGGCTCAAGAAGATGTTTCCCGATAGTGATTGAGCATCTACTGTAGTTATCTAAATGTAATAACAGTATTAAACGATTGAACGAAAATTCAACTCTTTTATCCTTTTTGACTTAGTTACCAAAGGAATTATCAATACGAATAAAATAAAGTTAATTATATTCTCCATATTCGGCTGGGTTTTACTTGAGTATATAAACAAATAATCAATTAGCAAAAAACCAGTTTTCATACGTTCCCATTATATGTGTGCAGTCGAGAAACGTTGTCCATGTAGCAGCTTTAGTTTTGCTTTTTATATAAGTAACGATTGTACAACAGAATATGAGTCAGGTGAGATTTAGCAAGGGACGTTTTATATTTGCCAATCAAATACCAGATTATATGCAAAGTAAAAGAAGGCGGAACAATCGTTTTAACATACCAAATATTAGTTTGCGTAACGGTGTAGATGTCGCATAGATTATACAAAAATGCTTGATTTGGATTAACAATAGTCAAACAGAACAAAGACAAATGTTGTTCTAAGATTGAATTACGATATAAAATTTTAATATTAATGTAATATTATTTAATTTTGTGGCTCCTGAATGCAGAACTAGAAACAATTATTTTTTTCATCACAAAATGCTTTGTAATTCTTTGAATGACGAGGCACATACGTATATATCCGTACATCTGCAGCGAATGAAACTCGATCTCCTGCATGCACGCAATATAGATCGATATATAATTCGGATACTTTCCCCCATTATTAGTAAATACGCAGTAATACAACGTGAAAATATCGGGGAAAAAGTGGTTTTACATTTTGATTCTAATAGTTAAAAGGTCTCTAGCGTTCTGATACCTTTGTTGTAAATATTTATTCAAGAAATGTTATACTAATTTTGCACTTTCAAATAATTAGCTGGATATATATAATTTAGGCATCAAAAGTTCTTCATTTAGTTACTTATCTATTTGTACAGAAACAATCGTTTTAAACAATTACAACTTGCATCCATTTGTTGTTTTTGCACTATCTACATGGCATTGAACTCCCAATAAGCCACACAAGCCAGAGAGAAAAATAATGCCACCGTTACCTGCAGAAAAGGAATCTGAAATTGTGACGATAAGCGTAATCCAGCATTATGAGTACTTGTCGGGCTCGAGGTTGTAGTTGTGGCCGGTGCTGAAGATTCAATTTTGACGCTGGCATAGATACCGTTTACTTTATTTGGATTGCTCACAACAAGGCACCAAGTGTCTAATGGAACTTGAGGTTTAGTTTGGTTGCAGGTTTGTACACAGTCGGAGCTTATTTAGAAATGTAAAACGTTAAGTTAATTTGAAACAGTGGCGTTAGAATATTCTCGGTGCATGATATTGTCGTAATTATCTACAAATGTTTGATTCCGCAAAAATTCTTGCATCTCTTACTAACCATGACGAATACGGTAGAGTAACGTTATAGTTGACTGCAGTTGGGTCAAGAAACTGTTGAAGATCCGTCGAAGATAAAACTTGGGAGATCACTCCGCCTGTGCAAGGACTATTCGGTTTGCCAGCTCCGGCTATATAGGCACCGAAGTTTGATGTCGTAAAAAGCGCTTCACTTGATGCGTTTACGATATAAGCTGTATTAGTGTAGACAGCTATTATTAGATTGAACTGATTAGGCATTAAATTTTTATTTTTAAACTTATACTTACTGAGATAATTGGTTTGTGAAGTACACATCCACCTTTTTAAAGTTGACAAGTTATTCCAAATATATAATTTTAATCCTTGAGGTATCGAGTGTGATGCACAAGCACATATGCAACGAGTTAACGATTTATGTCATATATTACCATGAGTGTACAGGATCTAAGTGAATGTCGCCCGATATGAAATCAGCATTTGCCGTAATCGCCTAACATAGTAATAAGATTAAACAGTTGAGCAAGACAAAACCAAACTCTCTTATCATTTTAAACTTACCAAAGAAAGGAATATGAATAAAATACTTTTAACAATATTTTGCATCTTGGCAGGCATTTGTGTGGATTTCATTTGATATGTGAATAGATTTATCAATAAACAAAATACCGTTTTGTTCTAAGCAACTCGTACGTCACCTATTTTATATGCAGTGAAGCTGACATTGTTTAGCTTCAGCATTGTACATGACAATTTGTTGCTAGTACAAAATGCAAACAGCCAGCCAGGTAGTTGCGTCCATGACATCAGCGGAGCATTTATATTTGCTGATTTACCCATCACAAAAAAAAAGTTTAAAATTGACACAATAGATGCTAATTACAAACATTGATTTATGCAGAGAGGTTTATTTAAGCTTACGGTCATACATTGTCGTCGGTCCGTTTGCCCCATAATTAGTTTAAACGATCATTAACATTAGCAAAGTGGACCAAGGCAACTGTTGTTCAAGTAAATATAAGTAGATAAATGCCAAGAGATTTGGAATGTTACTATCACTGTAAAGTTTGTAGTACACGCAATGACTTGATCAGCATCTGATTATAAACACAAGATGATGAAATCTCCCCCCTGCATATAATGTTATTGATTATCGAAGAATATGATGCACACACGTTCTAACACTTTTGTTTCTACCACTTATTCAGTTAGTGCTGATTTGATGTCCACCTGGTGGGCGCGCCCTGACTGCTCTCCGAATAATCTCTAGTTTCGATGTGTGCTGAACTTAGTTTACGGCGTTGAGAGCTTAATCAATTGTGCAACGCGATGGATGATTTTGACCATCGCATCGCTCGTACAACAAACAAAGTCTCAAATCCATATTAGTTATCATTAATATGTGACCAAAACCAACATTCTCACTTGCTTAGTTTTGATTTCTCATACTAAAGCGTTGCATTGTGATACGTACATAAAAATGCAACAAGATCTCTGACGAAATGATCAGGACATCTCTGAATATGGAATGGCTAGCAAAGAACCTGCAGGATGAAAGTATTCGATTTTATTCTTTCGACGATTTGACTGATAAACAATGCATTGGTTACGGTGGATATGGAATAGTCTTTAAAGCAAGAGTGAAGGTGTCTGGAATAGTCGTTGCATACAAATTTCTTGCCTCGGAACATTATCAGAATGATGAGATGGATGACTTTGTCAAAGAGGTTGGTATCTGATAACAGAACGGCTGACATTATTACAAATGTTTCTATATACTGACACAAGCTAACAATACTAACAATGCTATAAGCTTAAAATTCATCGGAAAGTTGATGACCATCCAAATATTATTCGGTTTCTTGGAGTGAGCAGAGGTTTGTATATGTGCTTTTGTGCAAGAAGTGTAGTCATACTAATACAGCACCTTTATCCAGTAAATACGTAATGCTATGCTAATTGGTTTTTTGCTTGCAGAACCAATGGATACACATGAACGGCATTTAATGATTTTTGAGTTTGCTGATAGTGGTTCATTAAAAATTTACTTAAAAAATCATGAATTAGATTGGCAAATAAGATATCAATTTGGTATTGATATCAGTAATGGACTAGGATATCTTCACAAGTTGGGCATTCTACACAAAGACTTGGTAAGCTAAATGGTTCACATTCAATCAACCAGGAAACTCTAATATATTTAATATTAACATCATATCAATGTTCAAGTCTTCCAGCAATGTCTTGATACATGCAGGCAAGGCCAAAATAACAGATTTTGGTTTATCTGATGTAATGGTAAGCCAAAAAAGCTATTCACATCATAATGGAAACTGTGCATATCTTGACCCCAGATGCTTTGATGGCGGACGTTATAAACGAGATAAGAAATCAGATATATTTAGCTTTGGGGTGATATTGTGGGAACTTTCTAGCAGACAACATCCATGTAATGGACTCTTGGCATACAACGATATTCAAGTCTACAGATTAAACGGTGGTCGTGATTTACCAGCTGCAGGCACACCAGTACAGTACATTGAACTATATTCACAATGCTGGGATGATGATCCTGAGAAACGGCCTTTTTGTGAACAAATCTATGATAAATTAAAAATAATGAAGCAAATAGAAGATTTAGAAGTGGAATTAGAAAACAAAACACATGAACATGCATTTCCTGATGGGTTGTTAAATATTTATAACAAAAACTTATTGCAAGGAATATCTGAAAATGAAATTGCCTATTCAATTAAGGATTGGCTGAAGAACAATAATTATTTGTGCTATGAAACATTTACCAGAATCAAATCTCATAAAAATTGTGGGCAGTGTTGTTGGCTAATTGGATTTTTTTATAACCATGGAATAATAGTTCAAAAAGATTTTGCTCAAACAATTCATTGGTATCAACTGTCAGCAACAATTGGTTACACCATGGCAAATTGCAGTCTTGCTTTTTGTTACATGACAGGAACTGGAGTAGACAAAGATAAACAAAAGGCTGTTGAGTTATACCAAAAAGCTGCTAAACAAGGGGATATCACAGCACAATGTAAACTTGGTGTATGTTATCAGTATGGAATTGGAATAGGAAAAGATAAACATAAGGCAGTTGAATGGTATCAAAAAGCTGCTGAACAAGGATATGCTATTGCACAAAATAATCTTGGTGTATGTTATCAGTGTGGAACTGGAATAGAAAAAGATGAACAAAAAGCAGTTGAATGGTATCAAAAAGCTGCTGAACAAGGGGACATCAGAGCACAATCTAGTCTTGGTGTGTGTTATTATCTTGGAACTGGAGTAGGGAAAGATGAACAGAAGGCAGTTGAATGGTATCAAAAAGCTGCTGAACAAGGGTATGTTACTGCCCAATATAATGTTGGTGTAAGTTACCAGTATGGAATTGGAGTAGAGGAAAATGTACAAAAAGCAACTGAATGGTATCAAAAGGCTGCTGAACAAGGGGATATCACAGCACAATGTGATCTTGGTGAATGTTATCAGTATGGAACTGGAGTGGGGAAAGATGAACAAAAAGCAGTTGAATGGTATAAGAAAGCTGCTGAACAAGAATATGCTATTGCACAATATAATATTGGTGTATGTTATCAGTATGGAACTGGAATAGAGAAAGATGAGCAAAAAGCAGTTGAATGGTATCAAAAAGCTGCTGAACAAGGAAATGTTAATGCTCAATTCAATCTTGGTGCATGTTATTATCTTGGAACTGGAGTAGGGAAAGATGAACAGAAGGCAGTTGAATGGTATCAAAAAGCTTCTGAACAAGGATATGTTACTGCCCAATATAATGTTGGTGTAAGTTACCAGTATGGAATTGGAGTAGAAAAAGATGAACAGAAAGCAGTTGAATGGTATCAAAAAGCTTCTGAACAAGGAAATGTTAATGCTCAATTCAATCTTGGTGCATGTTATTATTTTGGAACTGGAATAGGGAAAGATGAACTGAAAGCAGTTAAATGGTATCAAAAAGCTGCTGAACAAGGGGACATCAGAGCACAATGTAGTCTTGGTGTGTGTTATCAGTATGGGACTGGAGTAGGGAAAAATAAACAAAAGGCTGCTGAATGGTATCAAAAAGCTGCTGAACAAGGACATGCCATTGCACAACATTGTCTTGGTTACTGTTATCGAAATGGGATTGGAGTAGAAAAAGATAAAAAGAAGGCAATTGAATGGTACCAAAAATCTGCTGAACAAGGGAACATCAAAACACAATTCAATGTTGGTAATTATCAAAGAATAAAAAAGAAAATAAAGAAAGTGCTGTTGAATTGTACCCAAAAACTGAATATTAGAGCGTAGAATAAACATTTAACTTGCATCAAATATTAAATAATGAAACCAGAGCACTAGTACTAGGAAAACTTGGATTTACAATAGTTGTGGTATTGCAATGCAGTACTTTTTGTTTTTTTTATACATATAGTTCACATGAAAAATTGCTTCCAAAATGATGTACTTAATATATAATGTAGTTTGTTTGCAGTTTTTCTCTCTGATATAGTATGTTTGAAATAAGAATTTATTTTCAGTTAAGCGACTTAGGTTATAAATTAAAATAAAATTTTGTTGTTTTCTTGTTATTAAAACATAAATACATTAATTGATTTAGTTTCACCATATTGAAGACAGTAGGCTATAAATGTGTAAATTGAATGCTGGATAAATTTATTCTCTACTTCTTCATATACAATATTTATACGACTTTATTTCCAAGCTACGATATCCTGCTACAGGCTCGCTAAAGCTAGTTTTAACATGACAAGTCAGAGGTGAAATAAAGAAGTGGCCAGCAGGAAGGCCTTACATGGTGGAAGTCTAGTACTAGTGTAGAATAATGGTTGCAATTTGAGAGGGAGAAGGCCAGTGTGGAACAGGAGGATGTAGGTGACTATAACTTATAAGGAAGGACCTACTTCTTCATATACACTCCCTGCCAAAAGTATAAATACAGTACAAGATTTTGCTAGTAAAACATAAAATAATGAAATTTTCAAATCGCTAACTCTCCAAATCTTCTCGAATAAGCACCAGTAAATTTATATTATTTTAAAGCCAGATAACTGTAGTTTTAAGTGAGAGATATTAGTCATTTTCAAGACATTGCTGTTGCATGTGAGAAGGAGATGAAAGTTTTACGCTTAATTAATATTAAATGATCGACATAAATCGTATCTTTACTTTTTGTTGAGAGTATAGACAGCAATTGATAATATCTTAAAATTGCTGGTATATTTCAATTAAAACTACAGTTACTTAGCTTTAAAATGATATAAATTTTATTGGTGCTTGTTCAAGAAGATGTGGAGAGTTAACGATTTGAAACTTTCGATATTTTATAATTTACTGGTAAAATCTTGTACCGTATTTATACTTTTGATAGGGGGATGTATATCTTGTGGCCGAGTTGGAACTTATCAGTTCTGAACCCAGACACTCAGTTGCTTGAGACAGGTACTCAATTGAGGCACATCTTAACATGTAATGAACTAAACGTCTGATTTTTACAATTTGAGATCAGAAGTAAATACTATTCGAATTTGGTCAATTAAACACGCAATTTAACACAGATTATTAACACAGATTAAATATCGTACGAATTCAAACGGTTACATAAGTCACCATAAAATCCACGACCATCTGGGAATAAATCGGGGAATAAAACGGCCTCTAGTTCAGGATCATTAGGTATTTGACTCCTTGGAAAAATCTATAGCTAAACGAAAGTAATGAGCATCTTCATTATGTATTTCATCAGGGAAGTCATACGATGGTACAACTATATCTGATAAATTTACGGGAGTAATAAATTCATTATTACTATCTGATGCGTGGGTTGCCTGCAGCCAGACGGTAGGAGATGTTTGGGAATTATGTGCGAGCAAATGCGAAGCAATGGAATGGCAAGCAGATAGATAGAGATTATTTTATTGGAGCCAATCACAAGCACAACATAATGATGGATGATACCAGCAATAGTCAGGAGCAGATAAATCAGCAGTTTGCAGAAAAGCCCCAATAATACCTGAGTAGAGTGAAAATGTTTTTCTGTTTTGGAATATCCCATTTGACCAGTGAGCGATCGATGTTCGGCAAAAGGATTTGTACCAGAAGAACGACCTAGACTGGTATGTAAATAGATAGGGGAAAGATATTTTCTTTTGGCATATGGTACATCGTGAATACATCGAATGTATTAAAACCATGTTCTGTTATTAGAATTCGATTTACATCCAACGCAAACTACAATTTTTGTTGGATTGCGTGGATTGACTGTAAGGTTTATTCTTGGTGAAGACATTTCCAATGGATATGTAACGTTATTTATCCATTTTACAGATTGCGGGTATAGCAAGCGTGAGCAGTAAGAGCAGGGAAGCATGGAAACTATGCATAATATTCTTCGTAAAATTAACGTAATATTTTTAAATTCATTGGAAGAACGCCAATATTGGATTGTTGAACCATCAAAAGCCTGGGTAATTGGCATCTCGGGTCGGAAAAGAGCGATTGCCATTATTGATAGATAGCGATCTGAGAAAAATTTCGCTGTTTTCGAGACTATCAAGGGTAAATATATCGATGACCTGAGACATTTTTTTTTTAGTTTATTGATTATTTTTCTTCACGTTGAATTTGTTTATAAGTGATAAGTGAAAGCTAACTAAAGAGAAATAAGAAAGGGTTGACGACGAGTTGTATAACGTTTTATTGTAGTCGGGGTAATCAATAAAATGCTAATCAGGGTAGTACAATTTCTCGTACACGCAAGTTGGATGACTATTAATTGTCATATATTTCTCACGTTTGAATTATTTCTAGACTAAAGAAAGGTGCGATATTTTTGGTAAGGAGTTAACAGTATTAATAAAATCGAAATTTTTCGTACAACCATTATTTATTATCGCACAGAATGTGTGCAGCAAAGGGTGGTGGGCGGGTATAGTATACTATTAACCTTCAAATACCCATTTATCGTATTTTTTTATGTTGATCCTTGCGCTGGATTTTTAGTGCGAAAAAAATAAGGGAAAGAACAACTTGACGGACGAATACGCATTGGGGAAACATCAAAAAGAGTTGGTTTATATGCATAATGGTAGCGTTGGAAATGTACCTTATGCTAACTAACTTATGCTAACTTGCAAAAAATCCGTCATAATGACAACCTTCAATATTAATATCATTTAATGCAATAATATTCACGGTTATAACATGTGTGACAACGTAACAACTGTAAGACGAATGGTAACAATGCAATCACTGATCTCAATATCCAAGATGGATGTCAGAATCGTCTTTTGGTAATCCAACAGCAAGAACACATCGGGCGATCTTGGACTGTTGCTGCTTATTAGCGACAACACAACTATTGCAAATTGATGGGGGCTATATAATCAGTGGTTTTCGCTAGCTAACGTTATCATACTAACCTTTCCTTGTACATTTATATAATGAAACAATATACTTCTTTAATCTCAAAATACCCTGGCCACTCCAATAATTTTGCAAGCTGTAAACTGCAGGTTCCCCAAATTACCGAGGAGATTTGATTTTGTCTACTAATACTTTAAAGTAGAGTATAGATCATTCTCCGGTCGTCCTATGGATTATCAAAATGAAATCTCTTTGATACAGAAGCAAGCGTAATTAAACCAAACATCGTCCTATAGTGGTGTCAATTCACAAGAAATCTGCGCAATGAAGTGTAGTCTATATAATCTCTGCATAAGTCACCTCAATAACGTATTATCGTGAACCCATGCCGAACAAGTAACGGTCATCAAAAGAGGTGCTTCTAATATCAGCTACTACTTATACGTTGAACGTATATTGACACATGTACTCCAGTTAAATTGATCTATAAGACGTCCTATGCATGGCGGCGGGCGCGCGTGGCGCTAATCTTGTTTTTTTTTTTTTTTTTTTTTTTTTTTTTTTTTTTTTTTTTTTGAGGTTTGTGATTGGTTTTTTTGTTGTGTTACATTACAAGAATTTGAGCTGGTCAACTACTACATTAAAAATATGTCCGCGTTCAACTGCCTAACGACATATACAGAGAATGGCTAGCTAACAGCGTCAAGGAAGGATTTATCGAACAATATTTAGAGGAGGACCTTTTAGATCGTACACTTCTCGGGCACGGTGGATATGGTGTTGTATACAAAGCCAAGATAAAGCAATCGGGAGTATCAGTCGCTATAAAACCTTTGTTTCTCAACCGTTATGGTCGTGAAGAAGAATTATATAAAAAGTTTGTCAAAGAGGTGGCAACTTATTAACTACTCGTTCATCTACCCTCATTGTTGCATACTGGTTAACTGAATTATGTAAATATAAATAGTTGAAAACCCATAAGCAGGTGGAGGATCATCCAATCATTATACAGTTCTTAGGAATATGTAAAGGTATATTAATATTGATATTAAATGATATTGGATATTATTACTGCATACTTAAGTGTAATTATAAGGTCTTTTCTCTTTTAACTAAATAAAATACAATTATAACAGATCCATCTGGTCATTACTGCATGATATTTGAATATGCAGATAGTGGAACTTTGTGTGAACATCTGCAGAAACACTTCCCTGAGTTGACATGGAGTGATAAGTACAAGCTGGGTGTGGAAATTACTGATGGATTAATGTATTTACATAGTCTTGACATTGTTCACAAAAACTTGGTATGTATTAATTACATATTAATATACACAGCATGTTTACTTAACTATCATATTCATAAAATAAGTGTGACAATAATCAAACTAATGCACTGATCTTGATGCATATTATTAATTATATGCATGGATAATAGTGTTCAAAAAATATTCTTATTTATGAAGGTACTGCAAAAATAACTGACTTTGGGCTGTCCAGTGCCCTCAAACAAATTATGTCTACATCAACAGGTGAAGAAAATACAGTATTAGTATATTAATATTAATATGTTGATCCATTATCTTTTAAGGACAGTTCTTATAGATGTGGGAAAAAATCAGATATTTTCAGTCTTGGAGTAATACTTTGGGAGATGTCAAGTGGGAAACCTCCATGTCAAGGGCTCACCACAAATTGTGAAGTTTTCTTAATATTAAATGATTCTCATAGTCGTTCATTTCCTGGAGCATCTGAATATTATATCAAGCTATATTTAGAATGTTGGGATAAAAATTCTGAGAAACAGCCAACATGTAAAAAAGTACATAATGTACTAAAATCATTGCTAACTCAGTCATTAGTTCACACATTAGATCTGAGTCAGTGTGACATTGGAGACACAGGGGCAACAGCTTTAGCAGAGGCTCTAAAGAGCCATTCCACTCTAACATCTTTAGATGAAATTTATAATGAAATTGGATACATTAATACAGGAGCAACAGCTCTGGAATCAAGTTCTTCTTCAATACTAAATCTGGAACAGAATAAGATACGAGAAACAGGAGCAATGGCTTTGGCAAAAGCTCTGGAGTCAAATTCCTATTTGATATCTCTAAGTTTATATTGGAATAAAATAGGTAATGCAGGAGCAACAGCTTTAGCAAAGGCTCTGGAATCAAATTCTTGTTTGACATCTTTAAACTTAGCTTATAATAAATACAAGAAACAGGAGCAACAGCTTTGGCAAAGGCTCTGGAATCAAATTCTTATTTGACATCTCTAGAGCTATATTACAGTAACATAGTAATAGGAGATACAGGAGCAACAGTTTTGGCAAAAGCTTTGGAATCAAATTTTTGTTTGACAGCTCTAAATTTAAATTTCAATAACATAGGGGATACAGGAGCAACAGCTTTGACAAAGGCTCTGGAATTAAATTCTTGTTTGACATCTCTAAATTTGATTCAAAATTTTATAGGAGATGCAGGAGCAACATCTTTGGCAAAAGCTTTGGAATCACATCTCTAAATTTAAATTTCAATAAAATAGGGCAAAGGCTTTGGAATCAAATTCTTGTTTAACATCTCTAAATTTAAATTTCAATAACATAGGGGATGCAGGAACAACAGCTTTTGCAAAAGCTTTGGAATCAAATTCTTGTTTGGTATCTCTAATTTAAATAGAAATTAAATAAACCACATGTGCATGTAGTAGTAGGAGCAGCTTTTTTTTGCAAAAGCTCTGGTAGTAGTAGCAAACCTTTGTTTAATATCTCTAAATACTGAAAATAGTAATAGGAGAATACAAGAGCAACAGCATTAGTAAAGGCTCTGATATCTAAATTTAGCACTGAATGCAATAGGAGATAAATGAGCAACAGCTTTGGAAAAAGTAAAAGCTCAGATCAAATTCTTGTTATTTACTCTTGATAATAATAATAATAATAAGGCTGAAATACTAATATGTCAAAAAGCTTATGTTTAGTGAAATTTTTTCTTGAAAGCATTAGAATCAAAAAATAGCAATTGAGGAGAAAATTTTGACAAAATTAAAATCCTTGTAAACAGCTGATTTTGCTGTTTCCTACAGAATTATTTGATTGGTCAAAATGCACCCCGAGTATTTTGGATCGGGTACAAATTGGTGAAACGAGTGTATTTATGACTCATTTGTATAACTTAGATTTCAAACACCCAACTTGATTACTTGATTATAAATAGTGATAGTTTGCGAGTAGATGCCTGAGAGGGAAGTGGAATACAGAAGTGACGTAATTATAAATTGAAAGGTAAAACTGGAAGCAGAACTACTTCCCTGGTGTGGCTTTATTTATAACCGTTATTTATTATTGGAATTATGTTATCATTGTCTTTGTTCTTTATTTTTGATACCGATACTTTGATGTAAAAAAGCTAGTGAGTAATAAGCAAGTTGCCTAGTATTTTTTATCGATGCCTTGGCGTAATCTTTGACGATTGATAGCAGGGCATAAAAAGTATTCAGTTATTATAATTATACTCTGAATTGACACTTTGATGTGAGCTCTTCACCGACTAGTAAGCAAGTTGCTGAACATTCGCCTATCGATGCATGAAAAGTGTCCAGTTTAGAAAGACTGCGATTATAAGACCTTATGTTCAGCACAAAAAAAGGCGTTTGTAGTATAGACGATGTATGACACCGAGTTTAAATAATCGTTCAAAGGTTGATACTTCTTCGATCCAATAAACTTATTATTATTGCAAAACTGCTGTGACTTGATTTTTATTTGTTTAAGTTAAAATATTATTCCGTTAATGAGGGGGCTATGTAAAATTTTTCAATGCATGTCTAAAACAGTTATAAATCGGGTATTAATTTTTGGGTTTAGCATTAAACAAAACAATTAGTTGTGTACTGTAAATCAAAAAAAGAAACATTTCCTCAACGTATGCGCCAACCGTTCGGGAAAATATCTCCCCATTTCGACCAATAAACCACTGTGTATGATTCATCATTTTAACAACTAAAATTTAGCTTTTGATAATCTCACCGCACACAGCAATTCGACAGCCCTCCTAAGAATTAATCATTCAAAACCTGGTATCCGCCGCATACAATAATGTACGCAGGCGCTTTCAAAACAAGTCATCAATAAAGCAACCGCACACAAAATTTGTCACTTCATCTCGGCACAGCCTGCTGTCTTGTAAGTATCGATTGTTCGAGATCGGTTTCTATACACTTATTATCTTATTATTCGTGCATAATAACGCACGACACACAATTCGATTCAAGCCCACTTTTAGAGATAGGCAATTTGATAGAGATTTAATATGTGGTATTATGGGAGGACTACGACTATCGATGCCTGATTCCGCACCAGAGAAATACAAGAAGCTTGCTGAGAAGTGTTGCGATGCTGATCCCGATGCGCGTCCAAGCGCGAAGGATATTGTCGAACTTATTATTAATCCACCCATTATTGTGTATTTTCGACTAGCAATTGTTTATCTGGTCAAAGCTGTTGGGGCAAAGGAAGCGAGTTAGCCGTAAGGCAGCTTTATTGATCTGCCAGGACCAGAGTCGGCAAAACTAAAAAAAAAGTCGAGCGCGCTGATACTTCTTCTTTTTTCATGGCAGCAAATATAGTGCTTCCGTTACGGTAGCAAATTAATAGTCAAAAATCCCGGCGGCAAAGTCCATGTGCGAGCTTGAACCAATGCAAATACTTTGATTGCTCCAATCATGTCTGGAAAGGACTTAACTTAATTAGAGTAATTGGGAAAAAATGATAAATTTAGAACAAGGTCGAGAGGTGTCAAACTAAATAGCAAGGAACGGTCGCGTCGAAAATGGTGGTACTTATCGATAAAGGAACATCGACTACTAATCAATTAAAGAAATAATGTTTATTATAGTATGGGTTTCCCCATCGAATATTAATATAGTAATTCCTCAGAAGAGTCACGTTATTATAATACGCAATTGGGTCATAACAATGGCCACCAACAAACTCTCCGTCCTTAAGAAAATTGCGTACTTGTGGCTGCGCACGCACGAGTCAAAAAATATGACAGAAACGTCCAAAGAAGAGACAACTTGTCTGCTGCCAAATTTACGGTTAATATCCAATCCACGGTAGCCTACATCGCGTGAAGTTCGTCTCATTATCTGAGACGTCTAATATTACAAACCGATTTCCGGGATATCTTTCACCATACTCGAACGTCTATCAAGCGTGGACAAGCGAAGGAATAAATTGACTATTAGCCACTTAACCCTACAGCAACTTGTAAATACTGCCCCTTTCCCCTTGGAGAGACCCGTTCAACTAACGATTATCACTATACCTCTCTAATTTTCTTGGACCTCCAAATCCAGAAATAATTAAGGAAAGAAGTTTCCGATTGGCGTTATAATCATTTTCTAAATCCTTATCTTTTTTCTCTAGGTTCGTACTTGTAATTTAGTACTTCCTTCGTTCGCAGTATCTTGAAGAACTGCTTAACTTGGTTCTTGCTTCTCCCAGCGATGCTTACTTCTTGGTATATAACTTTCGAGTTCTATAACACAGCGAAACTCGTATGTTAAGAGACATAGCCGAAGGTTTGACATTGATTCCCAGTTATAGAAATTTGGGGTGTCATTCCCTGCTCGTCATACGCAAACCAGACTTTTCCGTTTGTCGATCAAAAATTCATCGGATAATGATGCAAGTGTCAGTCGTTTGTTTGCATATTTCCGGCTAAGCCGGGAGTCGGAAAAGTGAAGCTTATAAAGGGTCTGCATTCGGTGCACCTCTCATTTCTTATCATTGATTTCGCGGCTGGTGAAATCGAAAACTTTGCGCAAGATTAGAAAAACACATCCATGGATGGAAACCCCTTTGGACATTCTATTACATATCGGGACGGAGGTTCCGTTAAATTGTTAGACTATAGTGAAGACAAGAAAATCGTATTGCGTGATGATGCGTTGGACATCTTGCGTAGAATACAAGAACCTGTCGCGATTATCTCGTTGGGTAACGTAGGACGTATGTTCGAATGTTTAATCAATTATTTACGTTAATCGCTATTGTATGCTACTACAGTTGGATCTTATAGGCGAGGCAAGAGCTGGCTTGCAAACGTTTTACACGGAAGACACGATGGGTTCACTTTAGGTCATGGTACCGCAGGTGAAACACGTGGAATTTACATGTGGGATTCACCTTTCATGTATGAAGGCAAGCGGTGTGTGTCTGTTCGAACGCTTATTATGATTGTAACAGTAAACTCGCCTGTTAATGTTCATGACTTGCTAACTGTTTAACGAATCCCATTTTTGCTTATCATAGAATACTAGTCCTCGATTCAGAGGGCTTGGATGATCCCAAGCGTGACGCCGGGTTTGCCACAAAGTTATTCGTCCTATGCCTCGCTATATCGTCTTCCTTTATCTACAATATTAATGGCGTAGTCGGAAAAGAAGATGTGGAGAAACTATTCTTAATGACGGATTTGTCAAGATTCGTCAACCCTAACAACACAAACTACATTATGCCGCATTTAATAGTTTTACTGCGAGACTTTACGTTGGAGAGGCCAGATGATTTTGGCGAATATTTCCTAGATCAACTGCGTAGTGTAAATATGGCAGGTAAGAAAAGAAATCACAGTTCTTTGCATTCTGATCGAATTCTTTGAGAATGTGTGATGCTTATAGCCATGGAATTGCATGCTTGAGTTGTTAACACAATTGTTCGGAAGTTAACCGAGTTGTCAACCGTACGGAAGAATTGAAGATACCCCGCGTGGGATGGGCAAATGGCGGCTCAACTGGCAAGTCGGATGAATTTGGTATTCACCAACAGATGCTTGCGTTGTTTCATTTGAAGGCTTATTACGGAGCAACCGTGCACCTTAGGGCGCGACTGATCACCCGAAGAAGCAATCTTTATAATAATGCAACCGTCATACGGAAACTAACAACAATATCTAATCAGCGATTCAGATGTGATAACTCATTCAAGATATGAACGAACATTTTCTGTTAACAAGCTCAGACTTTAATTTAATTTGCTCGACGAGTCCATTGGTTAAGCATCATTGTTCTCAACACTAAAGTTTCAGTTATTAATGACTAACGTGTCTTATTAATCAGCTGCGAACAACCTAGGCGATAAATTTTCAGACTTTTCAGTTTATGGTTTGCCTGTAACGTATCTCTTTCCAGGAAATCTCTTATTTTGTTGCATTACAAAAGTTCAATGGAATAATCAGACCGCTCTCTTTAGCATCCTGGATTATCTAGCCACCAGTTGAGGGAATTACATGAAATCGATACATCCGAATTCGACGAAGAATTTATTGAAGAAGTGACGTACGCGGTGAACGAAATATTGAACACAGTTCAACCAAAATATATTGATTCAAATCCAGTTAATGGTGATGTTCTCGCAACATTCCTCGAATGCTGTGTCCAAACACTAAACGCGGGCGATAATCAATTTGATTTGAGTTTGTCTACCAACTACGATAGTATTGTCCAATTTGCTGCCAGAAGGGCTGCGACGGAAGCTCTCGATTGGTATCGTTCGATGATGGTAGCGGAATTAAATGAAAGCGTACTACCCGTACCATGGACTGTATTCAATAATGTACATGAGGAATCATTGCATAATGCTGAGAACTGCTTCAATAACAGTCTTGTTGGAAATGGAATACATCTGCTGAAGGCTTATCAGGAGTTTAGAAGAGATGTCGACACCTTTTTGACTAAGCTTCGAGGGCAAAATTCGGAATTGCTTTATTCGTGTAATCGGGAGACGGCTGTATTACTCTGGGATCAGTTAGTTACTTCTCATTTGACGGCCGACGATTTGTTTATCGTAAGTCAAAAGTTTTTTGGTTTTTTTTTTTTTTTGATTTTCAACTTTAACCGTCCAGCATAATGAATTTAGTTGCATTACGTAGTCTGTAGAAGTGTTGGAACAAGCCATTGATCGTTTTGAAGAACAGTACCTCGATGCTAGATTAGATTGTCCCGAGGCTTCGCGAGTACTAGACGAATTTAAGTCAATTTATTACAATGCAGCCAGAAGATTGTTCAACGATCTAAAGACATTCAGAGAGGTGGCTGAAGTAGAGAAACTGTTGACTATAGAAGCACAAAAAGATCGAGCCACAGCGCAGGCCGAACTACCAAAGATAGCTGGTCGTATGGAAGGGTTCGACGAGATATCGAGAAGACAAAAAGAGGAGGCAGACAGGTATAGACAACAAGTTGAGGATATGGGGAGAAAGGTCGCGGAGCTAGAACAGCAAATGCAGCGAAGGGAAGGTGAATATAAAGCGATGATAAATAATCTACAAAATGAATTGAGGAATCGATGATGAATTGTATTTATTTTTTCGATGAGAAAACTATTTAATAAAGTCAGCAAGCAACTTGTTTATCCTTAACCATAATTGTGGATTAATCAGACGTGTAGACAATGGGAACTTTCATTGTGTTTTCTTTTTATTCTTGTCATATACGGTAATTCACATAACCTCTTCGCCATTGGATGTTGTTAGCTTAGTAAAATTACGCACAAATCAGATAACCCCACAACTACAACTTAAACGGAAAGGGTTTGCACGCTACGCGTAAAAGAATTTCCGGATCAGCAAACATAAAATCATAAAGTACACTTCGACTAAAAGTAAACATGCAGGTATTGTGTGAGAATGGTAATAACGATTGCAACGCCAACTTCTCCTTATTTTTTCCCCCATATCTTATGGTTATATTTTAGCTTTCAGCTCTTTGATCGGTTTCTGGCTTTCATCTGCTTGCCTTCGTATCGCTTGCTGAATGTCCCCGTTCTCGGCATTCAAGGCTTCCTGGATTGCCTTTATTCGTTGATCACGTTCGAGCAAGTAGTTTTTAAGTCTCATTTCTCGCTGAGTAATTTCCAAAAATTGCTCGTGGAGTTTTTCTCGTTCTTTCATTTCTATTGCCGACTTTTCGTCGATTACGTTAAAGTTTGTAAGCGCGTCTATCGCGGCTTTGTATTGATTTTCTTTAAAGTATTTCAAGGCTTCCATGGCCTCTGGTGATGGCATCCAGTACTCTGCAAATTGTTTTTCGAAAGTCGTAATAGCTTGTTGGAACTCGGCTTCAGTCTGGAGACGGATAATGTAAGTGGATAAGTAATACGATTCACATAAACTGAGACACAACAAAGTCTATACCATTCATTACATACAAATAACCGGTTAGCGTTCAACCCTGGTTCAACCAGCTGATTCCAAAGCATAGTAGCCTTCCCTAGATTTACTCCATACAGTTCTTTCGAATTTTTTTCGTAATACGGCCTTTTGACGTTGTCAATTTCTTGTTGGAATTTTTCCTTGAACCCGTTGATTTGTTTCAAAGAACCTATTAAACTTCCTACGTAGTCTTTAATAACATTGCCAAAGATAGCTTGTTGCTTTGTGGTAAACTCTTCCCAAGACATCGGTATGGAATTTGCTAAATCCGTCATATCCGCTTGATACAATGTCAGACATTTTTCTTTCATTTTGTGCGCTACATGTTGGATAACACTTTCGTATTCATCTGAAATTGATAAATGATCCGTATCGTTCATCTCTGCAACACATTGGATGAGAATGTCTGCGAACGCGAGACCGTCCATTTTCAGATAGTCAATATATTTGGGTTCGAGCCTTTTAAAAATGTCCCTTACGGATGTCGTGGTTTTCTCAATAAATTCTTCTTCTGTATCGATAGATTGCATCTGTCGGAGATCCTTGCTTGAATGCTATATAAATATTAAAATTAACTTAAGAACACTCTTATCGAAACTTACAACGCAGTTAAATTTGCTTACAGGCAAAGCGTAGACGTTGAGTTCTTTGAATAATCTTTTAAGGCCTTCAGCAGCTTTTTAGTAAACCAGTGTTAGAACCAGCATATTTGTTACAAAAATTTGCTACATCAATGTTCGCAATCAGACCTCGCCACGTGTCTAGAAAATACGGTTCAATGATTTTGATCCCAAAATCTCGAAGCAACATTACTAGATGAGGCAGGTGGTTGAACATATCTGGACAAATCCCGCATTCAAATTAACTTGCCGATATCGCTACCTCCTATTATCCCGTTTATATTGTAGACCACCGTTGATGAAAGTACAAGGCAGAGAACAAATAACTTGGTCGTCCATTCGATTTCTTTGTTGGACTCATCTATATCCTCTGTATAGAGCATAATCACCCTGCAGCGAGCGAAAGGCCGTAATTATTGAGTTAAAGTTTATACTCGGAGAAATATTATCAAAGAGACAATATATACCTTTTTCCTTTGTGTATGAACGATGTATCCCACATGTAGATACCACGCGTACACTCGCCTACTTGTGCTCCAAGTTCAAATCTATCGTGCCGACCGTGCAACAAATTAGCGAGCCTAGTTAATATGAACATCACCAAATGGACATACAAAACACGATAATTAGGTAAGTCTGGTAAACTTTTTACGAATTAGATTATTAACCATTCACGTGTATTAGTAAGCTATCACTCCTTTCGGAGAAACAGCTCAAGTTCTCACTAAATTGATAATACGCGGCTTACCACGATTTCCCTTGTCTATACGAGCCGACTAGATATGTTTAAATGGCACAAAAAAGTCAAGCCTTTTAACTGTAAACAGCGACAGCCGGAACCAATATAGTACTTACCAATAGCAATTACGGTAACTGGTTCTCTTATCTTTTGCAGTATTCCTAAAGCTTCGAAAACTACGTGTATCCTCCCAAATGCATATCTGATGAGTTGTATTGGTTGACCCTCTCGTAAGGGAATTCCTTGCCTGAACTGGTTTGGGTTTTCATACGCCATGTTGATGAATGATGCGAAAGAGCATAACATCGTCAGCTGATATCCCATTTAAGCACACTGTGACATTCTTACTATACGTTTGTTCAGATTATGACATTGTCTAATTTGCAACAATTAAAGACACTTAGTCATCCCTATTCGAGTCGTATTGTTTTTAACGTTTAAAATTGCTTTGCGCATTATCAATCTGACTAACCAAATATGGCAAATAATAAGCCTCAGAACACAAAACATTGCCTCTTATATCACATTGTGAGCAATTCCCAAGTTTGGTAAATGATATTATCTCAGGCGAGTGTCCTAATTCGTTGATTTAGTACATTGAATTAAGAGGTGGAATCAAACAATAATCCTTCCTTGGCATTATGGTTAAAAAGTGTACTGTATCAAGATTCTGTAGTATCGTATGTCTACAATCGACGTGGGCAGATCTTAGAATAGCGGTATCACGTTTATTCTGTGCCATCGTAAATTTCGAGTTCTCTCATGCCCGATTTACCTTTGGCATCTTTTATTACCAACGCTAATTGTCATATTTATTGCAGACTACTGCGATTACTGTGATAGATCATTTCCCGACAATCCTGAAGCCCGAAAGAAACATCTTGAAGGAGCACAACACCAATTGAATGTAAAACACCATTATGATGCGTACAAAGGTGTGTTTACGGACTATGACGTACGCTTTAATATCGTGTTATTAACGTCGGTGAATGCTTTCATTTAGATCCGGTTGAATTACTCTTAGAGAATGCAAGAAAACCTCCTTGTCGAAGATTCCTTGAAACTGGTTTTTGTCCATTTGGACTTAGCTGTAGATACTCTCATGTACCCCCTCATATCGACATGTCAACCATTGATCCTCACTGTGAGTGATAACTATTTTATCTTTCCTCAAGCGATCTCCATCGCTTTCTAGTTTATGTTTATTATCGTGATTATACATTCTGACACAGCCAGTACTCTAGTATATTTATCGCAGAATCAACATCTACTCAACAAAAGGCTGAATGAATCAAACAGACCACCACCTCCTCCTCCCGTAAAGGTTACTCGATATAAACTTCCTCCAGGCTTACCAAAGGATCTTCCACCATCGCTTAGGCTGCCTCCACCGGGAGGCTATGACTATAGTAACGTAGCAGAATGGTGATAATATGAAGACGATTAAAATAATCATCCGTCTAGACTGTCGGGTCTTATCAGCAGATCTATAATTATTATTTTAATTAATACCACTGATTTCACCTTTACGAGTGACTCCTTCCATTGTTATACCCTAGACTTCACATCAACGTTCGGACACCAACTACAATTTCAGATTCAAAGACCCTCTCCCTTCAATCGTCCGGGGGATAGTTGGCCAGATATTTTTGAATGACCCTTTCAATTCCTTCTGCTGAGCTATTAGATTAGGTGTTGGCTTATATACCACTAAAGATTTCGGTAAAGACGTTTTTCTGTCTTGGAGAAGACTTTAATAGCTTCTTCTGATAATCCTGGGCGGCGCTTTGCTTCCATTTCATCGTTCTACTCACCCTACAAGAACCATTTCGACAAATAAACCGTGTCGTTACCCTTTTCCCTTCCCCTCTACCTTTTTAATATTCACCTTACTATGTAGCCATGTGAAATCTCGTTACTGGGTTATCTTGTCTCCACTTCCTTCTTCGATCTATGCGCAGTTGAATTATCACTCGTACTATAATGACCAACTCGGGAGGTGAGTGCTTCAATTAGTGTTCATCAACAGCTAATTCTTTTGTTACGCTGTACACTACCCCAGACCCGTACTGTATCGATAGCCTATATCGCGACTTGCTATTCGATAACCTTTATGTTCAAGAGCTGGTGTAGGTCACAAACGGTTATTACGGCTATTTAAATAACGAGGATCAGTAACAATCGCCTCCAATGGAAATAAATTGCTCAAGGAAAAATTCATCACAACGCACCAGAATGGACACGGCAAAATTCAATGCGGCATGAAATCACTCTCAGAACCATCACCAAAGAAACACATCACACAATCCTTTTCCCGCTCTCTTTAATGCATATATGCAGCGCCACTGGCGTGAGGTACCTCTGTGTCGCTAACGGTGAACAAGTATGCCGGCTTCATAGTATTGTCCAAAGATGACGTCGGATGGATCAGCAGCGCACCGCAGCTAATGAAGGATAGTTGGTTAGATAGAAGGATATCCAACCTTGTCGTTGAGCCTCATATACATCGTATTGAGAGTTACCATATCCTTGTGGCATACTCCTCGGTGGGAGAAGTTGAGCGTAAGCGAGACGTCAGTAGGTTGGCTCTTCTTCTGGAACCATATCCCCTCTTTATCCACGACTCGGTACATTGGGATTACATCTATACTATGAATAAATTCCAATTTATCTGTAAAGTAGCCCACAAAATCGACTTTCTCCGGATTTTGACTTTTCGAGTTGCGAAAGTCTTTTTTATTATGTAGATATACATTAAACAAGTTAACAATTGTCATTCTGATAGTCTTCGCCTTCATACATACTCACAATTGAAGTTACCCGAGAGACTTTAGCTATGGTATGTTCCGAATGCCGAGTACGAACAATTCGATCAACATTTGGGTATTATATTTTGAATTTCCATTCCGTTGTGTCTAGCGGAGAAACTACGCGCACCTAAATCTGTAGATGTCCCGTGATTGTTGTAATTAGTCGATCAAGCAAAGAAAGCGCGCACGTTTTGTTATGAGTATATTCCCAAGTCATTCATATTCAGCTATTATCTGGAGCATACTGCAACAAATTAACACAGCATATTGGCCTCCAAACCAATAGCATGCATGCTTATGCTAAACATGTGAACCTCAACTCTACGTTATTAACTTGGCACCTCTTTGTTCTAATCTGTAAATACGCTAAACTGTTGCTTTACCACAACGTAATAAGCAATAGAGTCATATTCGATTAGATGTACAGAAATTGTTACTGTTTGTATGAGTCAGACTCGATTTGTCTTCTGAGCGTTATAAATAATATCATTCACCAGATTGACTCAAAACGTGATCTGGCATACACATTGCGTCTGGTTTTATGTATAGTTTACAGTCGTTTAGACATCAATTAGAATGTCATGCGTAAAAGTGTAGTTTATACGTTGTACGTATTGAGAAGTTAACTTAACTTTGTAAGTCGAAAGTAAAATACCGCGAGTTAATAAGATGGAAAATTTTATTAGAAGAGAAGCTTCTCAAAGGTAAAGATTGATACAAGTCGCGTGTTTTGACTGAAAAATTGCCCAGAGTACAGCATTGCATCGCACATTCATAATTATCTACTCGTGAATTATCCACTCGTAAACGGTACAGGAACAAAACTTGGTGTGTTATCAGTTACCATTAAACGATTTGTGCCCTACGTTAAGTTGCTTACATACTGTCTTACTGTAAAGCAGTAGTACGCTAAATTTATCTCCCCCTTTATAGTCGCGTATGCTAGATGTTAATCACGGGACTAACAAATAACTACGTTAACAATATTTCCCGCCATCTGTCTGCTCCGTAATGATTAGCAGACGCTTTTACCAAAGATACGTCTTTTTGGCTGTTACGAAACACGCAAGATTATTTCAGTACCGGCGCAAATTCTGTTCGAAACCTGAAATACCTTCTGGTCATTCAAACCGATCAAAACTCGTAATCCGCTTTAAAGCAATTTTGTTTAATTTGCGCCGACATTGCAAGGTTATAACGCCAATTTGTCTTTATGCATTCAGTTAAACACTATAAAACTGATGCATCTAGGAGATTACGAGACTGCATTATCTATCAGCTTGTCCGTAAATGTGGACACTAATACACGTACAGGCTGTATGATTGAAATTTTGCGGGCTCTTTTACGTGGAGATACGTACGGATTGGCCGGGATATGGGAAGAAGTTATTGTGAGTTTATCCGTATTATTACTCTGAATGCTTTCTTCCCCGTTTTTCTTACCAATTTATTTATACTAGAAAGAATGTCAACATGCCGAGGCGCTCTGCAAACAAAATGGCCTGCATAAGATGTTTGCCAACGCAGGCTCATTTCGGTAACTAGAAGAAGACAACCTCAATTCTCCATTTGCATATATGTCTATGTATGCCTACTGATGTATATACGTTGTTAGTCTTTCAAAAGCTTTCGTGGAAATGTCGAAAAGAGTGCATGAACGAGCACGGTCACAAGAGCTCTTAGAAAACACGAAGAGTATCGTACTCGATTACCTTGATCTAATCGACGATCCGTAAGATTCTGTGAGATGCTGAGTTTGTCTTTTCTTCCTGGCTCTTAATAGCATCTACTATCATTTTTAACAGGCAGGTATTACGATGTTTATATGGGTCGTCGTGCCTATTGCTTGATGACGCTGAACAAGCGATTGAGAACTATTCGCACGCTCTGCTTAACGATTATCCG